CATTTCTCTTGGCTTTGTGAACTGGAGGAAATTTTTACACTATGAAGATTGATTATTGTTTGAGGCAGGTTAAAAATCCAACAGGGATTATCAAAATTGTGTATACTTTACTATTTAGCAATCCTGATCTTTTTTTTCTTAATACCTTTTTCTAATTTAACCTTTTTTTCCCTAAACGATATATGAGCATTCCAAATTGGGCTATCTGATAGTAGTAGTCCACGTTTTAACTATATTACCTGGATATTTTTAAATACAGCTAGTCCTCGATTTACAACAGTTCATTTAGTGACCATTCAAAGTTACAACAGCACTGAAAGATGTGACTTATGACTGTTTTTCACACTTATGACCATTGTGGCATTCCATGGTCACATAATCAAAATTAAAATGCTTTGGCATCTGACTCATATTTATGACTGTTGCAGTGTCCTGGAGTCACGTGATCATCGTTTACGATCTTCTGACAAGCAAAGTCAATGGCCAAGTCAGGTTCACTTAACAACTGTGTTACTAATGTAACAATTGCAGTGATTCACTTAACTGTGGCAAGAAAGGTCGTAAAATGGGGCAAAATTCACTTAACAAATGTCTCACTTAAAAACAAATTTTGGGCTCAATTGTGGTTGTAAGTCAAGAACTACCTGTAACCAATCCAAAACTGATTTTGGTTTTCCAGCTACATATTACATCAATAGCTCAGTCATTTTCTAATAAACTAAGATTCCTGGTTCTTTATTTAGTTACTTGCAGATGAATTATCAGCTAAAAACAAAAATGTCTCTTATCATTCCAAGTTCATAGCCTTCTACTTGGCAGGATTTCATTTCATTCCATTTCTATTACTCCGGTTCCAGTTCTTCCTGTGCAACTTCCTGGTCCTTCTTCTGTACTCATAATACCTTCCAAATTAGTGTTGTCTATTTCAAGACTTAGACTTCCTTTCTAAAACAAATACTTCAACATTATTAAATTAAAACAAGCTTGATCAATTACATTAGTGCTTCCTTCCAACTCAATGTTTCTTTTTAACACAATGCTTTATCAACACAATTGTAACTTAGTGACTGGAAGTATTCATACTGCTATACAAAGTGTTCATTTTAAATATTATTTTCTTTTGTGGTTTTGTTCTGTATACATTCTTTTATTACAATTCCAATTTCTTTGAGCAGTCTCTCAAAAGACTGCTGCATTGTATTTCCTTCTACCTTTTAGTATCTGCATATGCTGACCAAAATATGTATATTTTATTTGAATACTGGTACAAAGTAATTGATTTTCAGATAACAGATGACTCATGCTATGCTATTGACACTACTTGATTGTCAAAAGGTTTGACATACATACACAAAGAGAAGACATAAGGGTGCTCTACTCTTCAAAATATAGACAAGCAATTATATTTCCAAGTTTGCACTTCTCTTTATATATATAAAACACAGTGGAAAACAACTTTCTTAGTCTCTAAAGGCTGCAAAAAGCATGAACAGTAAAGGTATGATATCACTTAAATGGGTGGTCCAAAATATTTGACACAAATTTACACTGGGAGATGTTCAGAATTAAGCTTCAAAGAAGCCTACAGATTTTTTTCCTTCATTTCCCCCACCACAAGGAAGTAATCACCCAATAATTTTGAGGCAATTAAGGTGTGATTGTTGTCTTAACAGCTTCTCAAAGCTTTAAAATACATTTTTTCCTCCTTATTTTTTTTTAAATCCAATGGGGGCGAATTATAACTATCAATATTTTGTTCCTGAATTTCAGCAGAATATCTGGACGGCACAAAATGGTTGTGACCTCTGGCTGTCTGCTCTTCAGGTAAGGCAATGAAAATTGCAGTCATAAGTTATCTTACCAGGAAGTTTATGTGATTGCTTCTTTATAAAGGTTTGCCCTGCAAATACATGTAATCTATTGGTGAACTATGAACACACACACACACCCTTTGGGGTTAGTCCAATACTCTAATCCATATTCAGATGTCTATTTTAGAACTAATGAGAAATCAATGAATCCACTAACCTGAAAGCCTGGATTCAAGTGAAAACTGTGGAAAGGCAGATACTCACTGCCTTTTGCAAAGCTGAAGACTTCTCCTTTTCAGATAATTTCACCTCTATAGTTACCGTATTTTTCAGAGTATAAGAAGACCTTTCCCCCCCAAAAAAGAGGGTGAAAATCTGGGTGCATCTTATACTCCGAATGTAGCCCTGCCCAGCTTCTCAAATGGAGGTTTCAAAGGCTGAAAAAAGCATCAGAAAAAAAGCCCCCAACAGAGCTTCAAAGGCTTTTTTTCTGAAGCTCTGTTTCGGAGGCTTTCAGAGGCAGGAAAAAAAAGTTTTTTCTGAAATGGAGTTTCAGAAGCAGAAAAAAAAAAAGCAAAAAAAAGCAAGGCACAGAGCTCACAACCAAGGAATCTGTTGCTAAAATTCACTTCTGAGAACAGCTAATTGGGAGTATTCAGGGAGGCTGATCCATCTGCCAATCAGCTTTTTTCTTATTTTCTTTCCCAAAAACTAAGGTGCGCCTTATAATCCGGTGCATCTTATACTCCGAAAAATACGGTATATTCGATGAACTGTAAAATCATCCATGTTGGACAGACTACATTGAAACTTGACTTACAATGACTACATTGAAAACTTGATTTAAAACGCTTGTTTATTTGCCTGAAACATGTACTGTATTTTCTTTCCAGATATCATCAGTAAGAAAGTTTTAAATTTGGAAATAAGCTTCAGTTTGTTACCAAGCTTGCTATGAAAATTTGTTCTAAGTTACTAGCTTTGTCTTTGTTCTAACTTTGTTCTAATTTGAACAAAGTTTTTTTTCTAGTTTTTTTTTCTCTTGATACTATATATGCAAACAGGAAAGCAGATAAAAAGTTCAGGATATTTATTAAAATAAAATGTTGATCTCCTTTGTGTGTGTGTGTTTTTTTCTTTTTGCCTTGGGACTTATATACTTTATTCCAAACCAGAATGACTAGTTTGGGTAAGGAAATGTATCTGTAGCTAACAAGGAAAACTCACTTGACACAAGTCAGGCTCCCTGCCTTACCAAAATTAATCAATTTATTCTAAAAATGGGGAAACAAGTACTGGTAAGGGCCACAGGTGCCCCTGACAGCCCCTGACGTTGGCTGACCATGCCCCCCCTGGCCACACACCCCTAAGGTGAAACACAACCCTGATGTGGCCCTCGATTTTATTTATAAGATTTGTAGAAATATTCCACATTCACTTTTTGAAGAGTAAAAATGATGGCTGAGAGTAGCCACGTTTTGAAGGATGCCTACCTGTTTAGAAAAAAAAAACCATGCAAACATAAGTGGATGTATTAATATTCCAGAAATTTTAAAAGGGATGGCAGAAACAATTCTCTGGATATATGCAACTTGCTTTCAGAAACCAAAACATGTTGCAAGGTTCCTTTGCTTATTGAGGAAATAAAGCAATACCAAAAACAAAGAGATCCTCAGTAGTTCAGGATCTTGGAGAAATCTTGCATTGCTCAGAGTGGTAAGGACATAAAGAAATCCCCTGTCAAATTACGCTCAATTATCACACTAGTGTACATTCAGTTCATACAATAAGAGTAGAAAGAAGAGACGGCTCTTCCGTGGTAGCAGGTGTCAGCAGTAAAACGTATCTCTCCAAAAATGTTAAATGCTTTCTCAGGAATTGGTTTGCTCAACAGAAGGCTACACAGACATAACTCAGCTGGATTCTTTTCTTTACAGCAGGAAACAATGAAGTTGTAGATACAAAGATTTGCCCACTGCAGTCTTCATATGGGTCACTGCCCCAGGGTTTAAATTATAGATCTTTTCCAATCGCAGTCAGATTTTTTCGATGGTGTTTGGAAGGATGGTTGTTTTCCTTAATCAAATCCATAATTTTAATCAACATCTCTAATTTTTAATCAAATTCAGGCAGGTTTAAAAAAAGCAAGAGTTTAATGTTGCTTTTGTTCTTAGATAATCCTATTGGCAGTACCATTTCAGACTGAAGTTGTGACACTAGTTAATGGTATATGTGAAATTAAAAAAAAAACCTTTTCTGAATACAGATAATCCTAGACTTACAACAGTTTATTTGTGACTGTTCAAAGTTACAATGGCCCTTAAAAAAGTGACTTATGACCATTTTTCACACTTAGGACGGTTACAGCAGGTGAATTACAGTCGGCTGTTTGATGACTGGTTCATATTTATGACGGTTGCAGGGTCCCGGGATCATGAGATCATCTTTTGTGACCGTCTGACAAGTAGAGTCAATGGGGAAGCCAGATTTACTTAACAACAGTGTTACTAATTTAACAACTGCAGTGATTCACTTAACAAATGTGACATGCAATGTCGTAAAATGGGGGAAAAACTCATTTAACAAATTTCTCACTTAGCAACATAAATTCTGGGATAAATTGTGGTTGTATGTTGAGGACTACCTGCATTCGAAACAAGTACATTAGGAAGCTTAGACTGAACCAGGCTCAGCCTTTACAATATTGTTTCTGTAAATTCCTGAGTGACAGCAATCTGCTCTGATAGGAGGGCACCAAGCAGACATTTGGAGGCAGAAACATTTCTGCTTTGGGGCTAAACCCTAATAATGAAAACACAATATCTGACAATCTTGCCTTGTTAAATTCTGCATTCCTCCTGCATCCATAACCATATGTTACTACTATCCCAGTTTCAGCATCTTTTTCTGTCAATGAATCATTTCTTTTCAGGGATTAGAAAAGTTAATAATTAGCTTGTAGAGCCTGTCACTCGTGTGTCTGCAAAACCATGCTGATTCATTAACAGCTTTCCTTGGGACAGGTAATAGTTGTGCAGTCCTAGAGATGTCCACCAGCCTTGTCTCAAGGCAAGACTCTCCCAAAACTAGCTACCCACGGATAAAAATGAATGTAAGCATGTCTTTTAGATTAAGAGTTATTGTAATTTTAGCCAACGTAATTAACATAATGAACTGGGAAACACTTACTGGAAAGCCATCTTCAGGCACTTCGATTTCATCATGTGAGGTGGAACAACCTATGGGTAAAAGGGGCAAACATAAAATTTTAACTTGCTTTTATTTGTTTTCCAGCGTTTCTCACTAAGCATAGCGCAACGATTTTATAAAGAACATTATTTATATCATCATAATACAGGATATATTAAAACACATGATGTGAGGAAACACTTTAGACAGTGGCGTATTTTGTTTCCATATCCTTTTCCTGCTAGAAAACAGGAATAGATCTATTTTAATACACTGATTTTGGATGGCGATCGCTCTGTTCCCAGATGTCCCACTTTGAGGCCAAGGGACAATATGCACATTACAAAATTTGAAACAAGGACAAAGCACATCAGATGCCATGGTATGTTTACAAACTGGTTCTCAGGCAGAATATAGACATTGCTCCATTCTGTAGAAGGGGCCGGTGAAAATTAAGTATTTTTGAAGTAAAATAAAGCTTTGGTAACTACAGAAATTTTCAAAGTTTTTTTTTTCCCAAATAAGATCTGGACTTTATTACTGTTAAACATACTGCTCTTTTTTTTTTCTTCAAGATTTAAGACAAGTTTTCTTTTTGCATACGTGCACATACATTTCAGTGATACATTTTGGCTTTCATTCTTTAAAACTGGCAGTAAGTGGGTTAGTGAGAGCAGATGAAATGAACAACTAAAAAGGGGAAAAAAAGGGAGGCATAAGCTTTTTAAACAAAACAATGCCTGAATAATGCATACCTTGAGATATATCTTCAACAGCCCTACGAATTCCTCTATCAAATGCTCTTGCGTCAGCGGGACTTTGAAATGTGAGGCCAAATTTTTTTTCATCAATCTTCCAGTGGTGAAAAGTTGGCGTAACCTTATTGTAAATAAGCTCCTTCTTTAACGTACACTCCAAAACCACCTGAAAAGAAACCAAGTTAAAAGAGGAGGTTACTATAAAGGACTTTTGTATATTTGTGTATTTAAACAATTTTTGTTCTATCAAAGCTTTTTACAGAAAAAAAAATGGAAACAAGTCATAGCATAAAAGATTTTAATTGCTAACATATAGAATGTAAATTTAATCACAAAGCTCTAAAATCTATCCCCAAATGCCCATCAGTTTAATAACCTATTCCACATATCCCAAAATTTAATTAATTAATTAACATTTACACAAAGAAAAAGGAAGCTGTATAAATGGGAACCATCATCAAGATATCCGTGGCTTTTCGTCCCTGCCAGCAAGTTTGGCTATACCTGAACAGAAGCGCAACAGTCGGTAAAGTGAACTGATTCTGGACTATTCAGGTATGTAAGTAAACAAGTAAGTCATTGAAAATGACATTTGAAAGTGACATTTTTCACAAGTAATACAACATTGGAATAGATTGCTTGATATGCCAATTTGATATCTCTGCCTTGCAAGCTGCATTGGTTGCCAGTTTGACTCAAGAAGATTATTTGTGTATTTATTTGTATCCTGCTTTTATTATTTTTACAAGTAACTCAAGGCAGCAAACACCTCCAACACACCTTCCTCCTCTTATTTTCCGCAGAACAACAACCCTGTCAGGTGGTTTGGGTCGAGAGAAAGAGAGAGAGAGGGAAGAAGACTGGTCCAAAGTCAGCTGGCTTTCATGGTTCAGGTAGGACTAAAATTCACGGTTTCCCTCTTTCTAGCCTGGTGCCCTAACCACTAGACCAAACAGGTTCTAAGCAACTGACTAATCTTGTTTTTTGATTTGTGGCACCTGCCTTTTAGAATGAAATTCCTAATGATATGTGGGTGGCTCCCATCTGAATGGTGTCCTGCAGATCCTTAAAGATCTGCTTCCTCTCCTAGACTTTTGGCTAAGGTGGTTTGAACCTACTACTAAGGATATTACATGTTTTATGTATTGATTGGATCTGCCATTTTTTACTGTTTTATGTAGTACATTGTCTTGTAAAGTAAGATGCAAAGATTCAGTCTGGAATTGGGTGGTGTATAAACTGAATGAACGAATGAATGAGTGAATGAATGAACGAACCTATCTTCTTTCTTCCCTGGCTATCCAAACCTATTTTGGATGTGACTAGGATATCAGTAACTAAGACCAACTATATTACAGTAGTTAAGAACCAGGATTAAAAAGAACCAGATTGTAGTCTACTCTTAGCAACAGAAGTCTACTTGATGGCTTTGGGCTAATCACTGTGGAAATATAGGCGAAGGGAAAACTATATATGTCACCTTGAGCTCCTGAATTAAACTGAGTAGAAATAAAAGTAGTCCTCATCTTATGACTACATCTGGGACCAGAATCTTGATCATGGAGTGAAGCAATAGTTAAATAAAATGTCACATGACTGCTTCGTTCAAAAAACCACAACCCTCAGCACTTCCAGTTGTGTGCATTAAGTGAAATCCCAAGTCATTAAGTGGGCAGAATGAAAGCTGCCTGCAGAAGGATTTCAGCTCCATCCTCCAGTAGGCAACTCTTTGAGAATGAAAAGACAGTTGCAAGGGTTCAGGCCATTGTAATTTCAGACTGCTGTTAAATGAATGATTGTAAGTCAAAGACTACCTGTAGCATAAATAATTCTAAATACACATGGTTGCCCTTTATTGGAAGCAAACCCTTGATTTGATAGGGCTTTGCTTTCTAATATCTCTGTTAATGTTCTTCGTGCTGTATATTAAAAGTATTGTCCCATAAGAAATTAATTTCAGAAAGATCAGTATATGAATGTATTCTATTCATTTAAACAAATCCAGGTTTTCTACTTTTTTGTATCTATGCAAACAAAATGGGATTTCTTTATTATGGGTCTGCTATGTGATGTTGTTGCTTTAAGCTGTAGACAGATATTATATTTATTCCCTTGCAAACAGTGAACACCATTTCAGAATCAAATCCAAACTATTTCCTAGCCATACTTGATTTCCATTAACTGCTTTTGTTTCACACTGTTCTGTTCCCAAGCTGCTTTTCTTTCTACGGAATGCTGTTAGGTCCTCTTCAATTTTAGATTAAGAAACCCCCGTCAAAATATGTAGATAGCATCCAGGATTAGCAATTACAAAAAAAAAAAAAATGTGATGGTTTTTCAACAACAAGTGTCATTCAATGATAACCTGTCTTTCAAGGAGGAATACAAAGATTTTTGTCAGCTCTATCCTATGACATAGGTTAAGGCAAGAAAAAGTGGATCCAGGATTACCTGTTCAGTTCAATATTTTCAATCTCTGTTGTCTCCCTTTTTCCTTGCTAAAAATGATTGTGCTAAAATTTCCAGTCATTCCACACTAAATTATGGAAGAAGTGTGATACCAAGCAATGACATTTAAAAATTGTCTCTTTAGTTCTCCAATTCCTATTCTGGAAACCCTAATGGTACAAGTTTCAAAAACTTTTTTCATTGTCTGAATATGCTAATTTGCATTGATTAAACAAAGGCAACAGAGAATAAAATATGCAACAGGCAACAAACTGACTCATTATAAAATTGGAAAGCAAAGTTAAGTATCACTTTAAAAGCAATAGCATTTGACAATCTAAAATACTGAAACCTGCGTGCCTGCTTAATGCTTCATATAAAAGGAACTATCCGGCAATGTTTACATAGCTTAAAACAGCAGCAGACCTGTCCAGGTTAGAGTGGAAGGTAATTGTTCAAACTAGACTGGCTGGAGCCAGATCTCAGAAGGGAAGTATAATGAAGGAGGAAGTGTGCAATTATGTCAAGGGTGCTTTGTGAAGAAAGAGTGAAAAAAAATTGCTTTACATTCCAACAGAGGTCTAAACAAGCTGGGTAAACAAGTCCAGAAATAGTCTCTGTCATTCCAAAGTGAAACTCATTTCCTCAGTGCTATCGCTTTTCAAGATACCGGGCAGACTGTTTGTCAAAAACATGTCAAGCAAGTATTCTCATTCATGAAAGTACACCTAGTATTTTGCCACAAGTACTCTCAACTAAAGCAAAATAAATCAAAAGATTTTACTTGCATAAGACTTCTCTAATCTTGTGCTTTCTAGATGCGATGGGGTCACACCGCAGAACTCTCTTCCCCTACTTAAATTCCAATGCTTTGCTTTTCTGAACTAGACCTCTGTCTTGCTGCCCCACCCAAACAGACAGACAGACAGTCAGTATTCATCAAAGCACATCCTAATGTATGTTTGTTTCAAGTTAAGTACTAGTCTTTATTTCAGGAATACGTTACAGCAAGAAAATGTTTAATGATATCATTAATGCCAAGCAGGTTTTAAAGGTTCAAAAATCAAGTGAAATACAATCCCTCCCTGTTGTCTTCCTTTTAAATGCACTCCACTTTACCACCTGATGATTTTGAGCATCTTGAATTAAACTCCTGAACCTAGTGACCAGGATGGCTAGAAATTCTGAGATGGGAAGTTCAATGTATCTGGAGGGCTGGAAGAGACTGAGTCAACCAGTCAAAGAGGCTTTTCAGGGCTGAAGAGTAGAAATAGGATAAAATAAAAGTATGGAAACCGGTCCATCCACATTGAATGACAGGACAACTCCTAAAAAAACCAAAGGCAGGGCTATCTGATGAGTTTTTAAGTCTGACCTATAATTAGTGGTTTATGACAGCCTCCCCCCCCACCAAACAAATCAGTTGGCTCTGGATGTCAGTGCTAATCATAATTTCCTCTGATACACTGTTATATTACCTTATGATTATGTATAATACACACACAGAAGAACACATTGCAAAAGGAACAACAGCAATGACAAAACAGTGGCCTTACTGGCAAGGAAGTCTTTTTGCCAGCTCAATCTTAATTACTGTTTCAATAGTAGCTTTTACAAAAAAATTCTCATAATAGTGTACTGTTGATATATTACACTGAAAGAAACAAAATTATATTTGTTAAAAATGGTGAGAAATCATAAAAATTACATTCTAGCTGCTCAGAACCTTTGAGTCCATGCCAAATGTATACATGGCAATATATTTTCAGGAGAGTGATTATTGTTGCCGTCTTGTACTCCATTTGTACATCTTCAATAATGGATAAAGACACACCTTACATAGAAGTACCATAGATAGTGACTTTCCAATTCTATCACTTTTTCCTTCCTCCACAACTAGCCAACGGCGGCAACATCATTTGGGGAACAGCAAATGTCTACTGTTTTCTTGGACAGTATGCTCAACTCTAGGTACAGAAGAAGTAACAAACAGCTGCTCCTCACTGAAAGCAAGCAAACTGCTTCACCAAATCTTCTCTTCCTTCATTCTCCTATGGTTTGCTCTCTGGTAGTAGCTTCTCTTCTTTGTGTTCTCTGCTTTTTCTCACTCGATAGCTAAGGTAATATGTTTCCGAAGAAACGAAACGGATGTTGGTCTTACGTGAACATCCCTTCTCAGTGCGCTGCAGGAGAATCCAAGTGTGGGTTGACTTCTATCTATTTGCCAAAGATGGGGCTCCTCCTGCCATCTTACCTGATTTCCATCTCTGCATTTAAATATTTTTGGGGAGGGCTTATCTTTTGAGGGAGGCTTATTTTAGCACATGCGCTCAAAAGCCTGATTGGGCTTATTATCAGGAGATGTCTTATTTTTGGGGAAACAGGGTATTCAAATATAAATTCTTATCAACTGCATTACCCCTTTTTGCTGGTGGCAACATTATGCAAAACTGTAAAGGGCAACCACGGAACAGATTTCTTACAACCTAAGAAACCCTAACTAACCCTTGGATTGATAGTTGTTACAAAAGAGCAGAAAAGTAGGCATCAAAAAATGTGAAGTGTAAGAAAAATGGACCCAGTTTGTGGGGGAATAAGCTGACTTTGTATAAATATACAAAAGTATGAAGGGTATTGCTTAACGCATTGTAAGCCGCCCTGAGTCTCCGGAGAAGGGCGGCATATAATTCAAATTTAAAAAAAAAAAAAAAGGGACCCGGATTTAGTTTGCAACCCTACTCTCTATATCAACGGCTTGATATCCTTACAAATCAACCTTGTTTCACCTTATCTACAGACCACTTCATACATACATGATTTTAAGAATCAGCAGACATTTAAATAGCAAATCAGATATTTAACACTAATGATTATGACTAAATCTTTATACATTCAAAGACTATATTATTTAGCAGCTGCTCTGTTGAAAGTATGAATAAAGCAGACAATTTTACAAGCTCTACATTTAATTTAAATGGCAAAACAGGCACTCGGGGGCAGATATTACATGGATTACTATGTGCCAGGCTGATGGTTTACCAGTTATGTGGGAACTGCCTTTTTCTGTGTGCCTCTTGTATGGCTATAGGTAACATTTAAAGAAAGTAGTCCAAATGCCAATCCCCGGTCTTGGTCCCTGCCCTTCTGGCTAAGTTGTAACCCTAATCTTATGTAAATGTAACTTTCATCAAGATAGCGCTATGTTTAAGGAGCTCTTTATCAGCAATTCAGTGAATAGTTATATCCAGCTGCACCTATAAGCATGATAATGTGTAAGAAATGGATACTGAATTATACTAATGAACAATTCTATACCAAACAGGCAACTAATAACCCATTTAGTTTGCTGATTTCCTGCAATTTATCATTTCATTTTTCTGGCACAAATTATTTTCACTGAAATTTTTTTTTTGTTGGTTGCAATCTTTTTCACAATCTACATTCTTAAGAGTGACATTATCTCAACTTTTAAAATTTCAATGCTGATAGCAATACACACACACACACACACACACATTGTAGATATAAATACAGTATTTTTATTAATTTTCACACTATTATTATTTTTCTTTTTGTATACCTATTTTCCTTTTTGGTTTATCTTATTATTTTTTTGCTCTTAATGCTTTGTTTCATAAAACAATCCAAAACACCTACAACTTTATATAGTAATATATTGAGTGTGTCATATACACCATCTACCTCCTAATTGTGAGTTTATTTTATTTATTTTTATTTTATTTTGAATTTGTATACCGCCCTTCTCCCTGAGGACTCAGGGCGGTGAACAGCCAAGTAAAAACATCAAGTACAAATATTAAAATACAATTAAAAATATATATATAAATTTGGCCCCATTAATTAAAAACGATAAACAAAACAATTAAAAACACTTAAAAAATTAGGCTAGCCCAGCTTGCTGGAAAAGGAAGGTTTTAAGGGCACGGCGGAAGGCACTGAGGTCTTGGATTCTCCTTATCTCTGGGGGCAATTGATTCCAGAGGGTAGGTGCCCCTACAGAGAAGGCCCTCCCCCTGGGGGTCACCAGCCTGCACTGTTTGGCTGATGGCACCCCGAGGAGGCCCTCTCTGTGGGAGCGCATGGGTCAATGGGAGGTCGTCGGTGGCAGCAGGCAGTCTCGAAGATAGCTAGGCCCTATGCCATGGAGCGCTTTAAAGGTGATAACCAACACCTTGAAGCGCACCCGGAAGACCACCGGGAGCCAGTGCAGCTCACGCAGGAGCGCTGTTACATGGGAGCGCCATGCTGCTCCCGTCACTACCTGCGCTGCTGCGTTCTGGACCAGTTGGAGCCTCCGGGTGCTCTTCAAGGGGAGCCCCATGTAGAGAGCGTTGCAGCAACAGTAACTTGTGAGATAATTTTTGTATTGTAGAGTCTAATAATAATATGAGCATGATTGTTCTATATCTGTTAGATCTCCTATGATTTGCTAAATTACAAAATAATTTGCAATAAAACTAAAGTGAGTGAATGATGGAAGGTTCTCTATGGGAATGACAGTGCTATGTAGAAAATTGGAATTTAAAAGATCACTATTAATATTGTGAATGTCTAAGAAAAAGATAATGAAATCAATGGTCCAAGATATGACAATGAGTTAAATTTGTGAAGTATAGTGAAACTTTATTATTTATTTAACTAATTTATACAGCTGCCCACTTGCCAGAGTGACACTGAGCAGGTAACAGGATATTATTTTGAAAAAAAAAAGTGTATGCAGTGAAGATTTTTGCTTTTCATTTACCAAGTAATTGAGAAATGAATAAAAGCAAAAAAAATTATTATATATTTATTAATTTAAAGAAAGTATATAATGAAGTTTATTAATGTATTTCAGAACATTTGTGCAAATATGGAATTTAATGTTGGTTATAGTGATATATGATGGAAGCTAAGCATCCGAAGAAATAAGGAAATGATTCAACACAGAGAAAGCAAGGATGTGTGATATACCTTTGGTTGTTAATGCATTTATTGATAAACATATATGGAATGCTTGCAATAATTCTAGAAGTGCGCTCACATAGGGCTGCCCTCCTCCGGGTCCCCTTGGCCAGACAGTGTCGGCTGGTGGTCCCCAGGATGAGAGCGTTCTCTGTGGTCGCACCGACCCTCTGGAATGGGTTGCCCACCGGGCTCCGGATGGCCCCTGACCCCTGCACCTTCCACGCCGACTTAAAGACATGGTTCTTTCAGCAACTTCCCCGATCTGCCGTGGATTTTAACTTGGGGATTTGGGGATTTTAAATTGGTTTTTAATATGAGTTAATTTTTATCTATTGTTGGGTTATTTTATTGTTGTGAGCTGCCCCGAGTCCTACGGGAGAAGGGCGGCATATAAATCTGACAAATATAAATATAAGTGATTTGGCAAGGACATGAAAATGGCTGCAAATGATGTACTACTCTTGACTAGGAACCAAATGATTGCAGTGATATTAGATACAGAATACTGTATGAATGAGGATAATGGATCTCAAACAACAACAAAAAAGAACAAATAAAAAAAAGGGTAGAATGTTTTCTAAAGATGGAAAAATATGTTATTTTGTTAAATACCGGTAAAAAAGTAATTGCTATTACCTGGTCTACTGTAAGGAATCTGTATTTACAGGAAGCAATTGAAATATGTGTGTAGGTGCACAATTCTGACCATTGTGTTCCATGGAAATGAGGGCTGGGTATGTCAGTAGAAACAACATAGTGAATTGAAATGGGATTTACTTTATGAACTGAAAAAGGATATGTATGGCAAAATAAAGAGATAAGGTCAGAAATGAATGGGATTTGAATGAATGTAGACTAAATACAAAAGTAACTAGTATGAAAGGAGGACATTGAGATATTTTGGTTACAGAAAGCATGAAGCACATTACAAAGTCAATCTATGAAGGAAAGATAAAGAGAAAAAGAAACAGATTATCAAAAAGAGACGTGAAATTTAAAAGGCTAAAGGCAATGTATGAATTGGTGCATGAAGCAGAAACAGAAAAAGTATTTAGAAGCATAGTGAATAATGTAATGTGCGCTAGATTTAATTAGATTTTATCTTAGTTTAGTTCTGCTTCCAATTTATTTGCATACTACTTTTTTTTACTACTTTACACTTTTTCTATGGTTTGTATAATGATCCTTATCCTGAAATGGATAAGTGTAAAACAGCGTTTTTCAAACTTGGCAACTTTAAAATGTATGGACCTCAATTCTCAGAATTCCCCAGCCAACATTTAACACTGCAAGAAATTTAATAGTACCAACAATATACATCTCTTTCAAATTTTGCAATCTTATGATGTACTTTATACATTTATTGTGATAATTATTACAAATCACTTTAAACCATTTTTAGGTTTTTCCAGTGCAAGAAAATATTTTAATGCATTTTTCAATTAACCACTTTTAATGCAATCCAACAGTACTTTTCAAATGATCAGAAAATTTTATGAACTTTGAAATTTAAAACCATTTACTAAAATGTGTTTAGGTTGTGTATATAAATGTGCACATATGTCTGTGTGGGAGCACATGTGCACGCACACATAAACACCCACAAAGAGAAAAGAGTAGGGGAACAAACACATATTTATAAACAATAGGGTGTTGCAAACTGTTTCTTATGGAGTTACTTCCCTTTAATTAATATCACAAAACAGACATAATTATTTTTACCGTTTTATCCCTGAGACGTTCCCCATGTATAAGAAACTCAGCACAGCCACTTTCTTCTTGGTGAATGACTTTGAAAATGGTGACGCAGCTTAGTCCACCCCCTGCAAGTGGTAACCATCCACCACTTGAGTCATCACGGGTCATCACCACAGCTCGCACACGGGCATAACTATTACTGAAACAGATTAAGGATAAAAAAAAATTAAGTTTTCTATGTTGGGAATGAATATGATTAAGTCATTGCATAGTCACATTAAATTATTCAAACCTAATAGTTAATCATACAGTTTTCAAAAACATTTGATACCCCATGATTTTCAGCAGCATTGGGAATCTGTTTGGTAATCTGAACTGAATACTGAAGAGCTGTGGTGGCACAGTGGTTAGAATGCAGTATTTCAGGCGAATTCTACTGACTACGAAGAGTTCGATCCTAACTGGCTCATGGTTGACTCAGTCTTCCAAGATCGGTAAAATGAGGGCCCAGATTGTTGGGGGCAATATGCTGACTCTATAAACCGCTTTGAGAGGGCTATACAGCACTATGAAGTGGTATATAGGTCTAAATGCTATTGCTATTGATTACTGTATACAGTTTACTTGAACACATTTGGGCAGATGAGGCAAATTTTGTAATGTTGTTATCAGCAAAAGCCCAGCTAGTTCGATTATCAAGAGAATAAATTATTGTGGCCTAGTCTTAATACTACAGTAATTTATTCTCCACAGAAGACCAGAGCTGCGGATCCAAATATAAGGATATCTGCAAGATGCCCTGAGAATGGACATTAACAACTGGTAAACCTTGACCTCCGATCGTTCAGCTTGGAGGCTAAAGACGCAGTATGGCCTTCTCCAATTCGAAGAGACACTTGTTCGGCAGGCTGAGGCAAAGAGGCAGTCCAGGAACCAGCAAAATCTGGGGGCTGGGCAGGGAACAGAATGTATCTGCCCTCAGTGTGGAAGGGATTGCCATTCTTGGATTGGCCTTTTTAATCATACTAGATGCTGTTTTAGGACCTCTTTCCAGAGCACGATACCATAGTCTTTTGAGACTGAAGGTTGCCAATATGAGTCTTAATGCTATAGGTAGGGATTTCCAATGTTTCTTATATGAAAATGGATCCAAGATGCTCAAGCAAGAGCAAAACACTGTAACAAATCTTCTCTTCCCAAATTTACTAGACGACATTGGATGTAATAGTCTTGCATCAGCATGTGTAGCATGGCAGCATTGGTCAGGGCTGGTAACCAGGGCAACACATTATTTGATGCAGTTCTGTTTATATTCAGCGATACATTCTCTAATTTGGTGAGAAAGGAGCGCACAGAGTTTGGATCATAATAACTTGCCACAAGAAAGCATTAACTAAGTAGGAGATGATCACTACGTTTGCTCACTTGCTTCCTGCCAAAAGTCACTTAACTGCCAGTAAATGCAAACTTAATTTTACCATCACTGCCTTTTTGGATATGATGATGGAAGGTCAGCATCCAGTAAAAATTACATAGTAACAGGATTAATGTTGTATTCATCCTTTTACACCCCGATATTTAAGTTGAAGCTTTTGGAGGAGAAGTTAAAAGATTGTGAAAGGGACATTTAGGCCACCCCAATATTATAAATTATAAAGGAAAGGGCATAAAGGACAGGTTTTAAATTTCCTTTTCTGTTGTTTATCAGTTGGGAAACAAAACTTAAAAAAAAAAAAGGACATTGATACATTTATTTAAAAGAAAACAGTTAATATACTTTTAGCTAGTCTTTGGTACTAAAATGCCAAAATATAAGGTAAAAGGCCAAATTTATTAAATTTCAAGATGGAAGGTACAAGTACACAAGATGAAGAATAATATGAAATTAACACTATTCTCCTTTACCGTATTTGTACCTGTCAGATTTATCTTTTCTTCAAGTACTTTACTGCACTGTTACTATGGATCCAATATGGTAAAAATAATCCAATGTTGTAAACAAATTAAAACAACAAATACCTTACTATCAACAACCAGAATCCAATTATTATCCACTCAAACATACTGGAATTGTTCATTAGTATTTTTGGTAGATTGGCAGACTGGCCAAGAACTTCTACACAATTCCCATAACTAAAGGCAGTGGGAAAGCCAGCGGGAAGTTGCATATTCATCAGAGGAATATATTTAAGATTACTTTAATAGAAAAAACACACTCAAATTTTACTTATAAGCAATTTCAAGTACTGTATATAGGGCAGTGGTGGGTTGCCCCCTGTTTGCACTGGTTCTATAGAACCAGTAGTAAAACTGGCGGGAGGCTCCGCCCATCGTCATCAAAATGCTTTTGTGCATGCGCAGAAGATTGCGTGGGTGCGCGGTCCTGTTGCGGACCGGTAGTAAAGGTAAGTAGAACCCATCCCGATATAGGCATTCTATTGCCTGAAAAACATAATACTTCAGATCATTTTTCAATAGATCCCAAAGCTTTTGCTTTTATTTACAACCCAAATTATGAAAAAGCAATGGCATCTATACTGCAAATGTGTGAAAGTTCACCCGCTCTTTGTACTGAAAAAGCAAAAAAGTATGTGGATAACTCTTCTTAATGTAAATAAATTTATGTTCGATCTGTTGTCACTGCATTTCACCACGATCTCTTGAGATGTGACAAGGAATTCTGAAATGTTTTAATAATGGGTAATCTTATAGCCTACTTAGAATTCTGCACAATCAGAGATCTATCTATAGATCTCTGTCTATTAAGTCTATAAACCTGACATCCTGCTTATGAGCATATGGAAATATGAAATGGGAAGTTTATTCATTTTCTTGTCTGCTAGTGTTAAATGAAGCTCTATTCCATTCTCCTGTGAACAACAGTAGAGGGAAAAAAATTATACCAGTACCATGCCTAATTTCCCCTCACATTATGGATATAGAACAATTATGAAATCTCCAGTCTGACTATGCCCTTCAGTCAGCTTCTTTAATTGTCACTTTTTTGATATGGAAAAGCCATCATTTCCTCGCTTCCTCCTCCACCCAGCAGCAGCCATTTGACTGCCTGCTGGCCTCGGACTTGTAATTTCCTGCTGGCTTCCCCACTGACTTTTTCCTTGCACAGGCTTCCCACAAGCAAAATAAATGGGGAAGCTGGCTAGAATTCAAAGGACGGAGTGAGGGAGAGAGGAAGATGTCCAGTGCCACTTGCCAGCTTCCCACAAGGAAATTCAATGAGGAAGCCAGCAGGTAGTCGGAAGTCGCTCCCACCTCCATTACTTTTTGCCTACCTATGATCATTCTGTTTCTGTTTAGGTAAGGAACTAACTCTGAGATGATGACCCAACAGGACATCGGTTGTCTCATAAATATATGTATTTGTTGTCAGAACAGTAATTGTCAGTAGAACAAATTTCCTTTCTCCCTACATTCCCATTGGATTCCTAAGGGTAAATTTCATGCTACGGTGATTTATGGGAGAGGACAGCAATTACATAACAAATTCAAACATACAAGAAATCTAGTCTAACTTTAACCAATTACACTTAAATATGCAAAACCCCAAAAATAAAGACAAATATACACATATGTTTATTGCTACACTGAAATACAACCATGTATGGAGAGGTGCTAGATGCTATGAAAGTGCAATAAATAAATAGGGATCCAATAATGTTGAATTCACAGCAGAAAGCTGCCTTAGATCTTGTGCGTTATACCCACTGTATTTATCAGTGGCTCCTTAAAGAAGATGTGCCTTTTCTGGACATGTATGCAGCTGTGCAGCCTCTGGTTCTCCTTTGTCATACTCTAACTATATGCTAAATAAAACATAAAGTCCCCAGAAAATATAAGCCTGGATGTTGCTGCCTTGTCACCATAACTTTAATTCAATCCTGTATTACCTTGGGACAGCACAGGAAATGGCACAACTGATTTAAGGAGCTGGTGATAGGGACAGCGAGCATGCTTACCAGATTCAACGCAACTTTTTGTTTTAAAGTTTTAATTTATTTTAAAAGGACAACTAACTACCGCTATGTCAATTATGCATTTAGTAATTATTTCCTATTGTCATATTAGCATTTAACTTACAAAGTTTCATTAAGTAACAAAGTAGTATATTTTCTTCTCATTTGGACAAAACACCAGAGAAATGTTAATACAGTGTACAGTAACTTCATAGAGTACTATGCTTTGTATGTGTTTCTATCAAATCAGACCTAAGAGTAACAACTCAAAAGAACAAAAACATGAACCACACAGACCAAATAAAAAATTGAAGAGAGTGTGTAGTATTTTTTTGCTATTTAAATATTAATAATTAGAGCATAATGCCGAATTAGCTTAATCTTCAAGATGACCCTTCCATTAATGAGAGTTGTGGATGGAAAAAAATATAAAACAAAAATAAATTATAATCAATGTTTTAGGATATCCAGGTTTGGAGAGAGACTATGAAGGGACAGGTTAAAAGGGATGACAAACTCATTCAATTGCTTCACTTAGTTGTAAACAAAATTCAAATCTGTACTAATGCTTTGAATGCAATGTGTTCTTGGCAAGAATTCCTCTTGACTTAGTTGTCCACGAAGAAAGCATTTTCTTTTAGTTTGCTACTGTACAAGCTATTTAAAATTGGGAAACAGATTTAAAGGCCACATACAAAACGCTCTTGAAGTATGGAAGGCTTATAATGAAACTTGAAGATGCAGTGTTCATAATCAGCCATTTTTGATACAATGATAACCGATATTCTCCTTTGGAGAAATATCAAAACATCAAGGGTGAACATAAAGTTTAAATTTTAAAAGAGCAGGAATCTGGTAGGACAATACTGCTTCTTCCCTCCATGGAGGATTGAGAACAGGTCTTATGTTTCCTTCCCTTCTCATTCCCACTCTGAATACTTAATGATTGCTCAGAGGTTCAATACTGGTTTTAAAGTAAAGCTCCTGGAACAATCAGGATAAGGAGTTCTCTATTGCACTTGCCAAGAATGACCCCATATACAAATAAATGCAAATTCAACCCCCGAGTGACAAGGACAGCATCCATTTTGATGAATTACAGGAAAGAAATCTTGGAAGCTGGCCTTGCTATTTGTTAATTTCTGCCTGCCTTGTAAAGTTTTCAGTTCACTGTCCATACACAATATCTACAAAATGCAAGGTAGCTTTTTTGTCACTTTTGTCA